GAGAAACCTCGGTGTAAGTAACGGCTGCGGTTTCGCCGTGCGTCTCGCCTTCCCCGCAGCTCAACGCTTCTCTCGAGTTGGCTCTCTGAAGAGTTAGCACCACTCTTTGCTGGCAAAGAGGGGTTTTGGGTCTGCACGGGCTTCAGTAGGCGTTGTTATAGCTGTTCGGTGGTTTATTTTAACCAAAACCAGCAAACGGACTTTCCCTTTCTACCAAATCAGATTGGTGCACACGCTAAGCTGCACGCTTTCCGACTTAAACCTGGAATCCGGTTAATTAGGTTCTATTTACGTTATTTTAATAACGTTACAGGCCAACCTGGCCCTTAACAGCACCCTTTGGGACTCCAGAATTAAACATTCGATCGGCTGAACTTAAAAGAGGAGAACTGTAACTGCAGCAGCAGCCGACGATAACGTATAAAGTCAAAGGCCGCGCTTTATATCTTGCCTCCTGCCAGGTTTTTATGGCTTTAATCTGCGCCCTGCAAGCAGGGTCGGCTGCTTTACGACCGAGGTGCTGTTTGTTCCATTTCCCTTGCGAGAGACGCCGGGGCCGGTGAACCCGGAGGAGCTTACCTCGCCGCTCGGCCCCACGCGAGGAGTTTATCCTCCCCATGAGCCGTAAGTAACAGAGGGGCGATGCCGTCCCCGCGCGTCAGAGGCACTCACCGTCCAGCCTGAGGTATTTGAATCCGCGGTAAGCAAAATAATCTTCCATGATGGTCATGAGGGAGGTCATCTGGCAAAAGAGCAGCACTTTGTGGTTGGTGGCTCGCAGTTTGGGGAGAATTCTGTCCAGGAGCTCAAATTTGCCTGAGGCACGGTACAAATCCAGCCTAGGGAGGGCGGGAAGAGAAGAGGGAAATGAGGATGTGATGCTAAAAACGCAGCCTCTCCCTCTCGTAAGGATTATCAGTGCTCGCTGCAGCAGCGCTAGCTCATTTACCGTGCGCTGATAAACCACGTTAGAAGGAAAAGCCACAAATCTCTCCCCTCGTTACACCTCTAAAATACCCGACTTACCCTTGCACGATACCTCCCGTGAACCCCAAGTGCTCGGAAAAGGATTCCTGCAACCAGAAAGAGAAGCGACATCAGAAACTGTCCTTGGGCGCAAAGAAATCCAACAAAGTCCTGGAACTGCCCTAAAAGACAACCGGCCCTGGGAGCCCGGCGACGGCAGAGGTCCCGCTCCTGAATCGCCTCAGGAAGATGTTAAGAGGTCTGCCTGGTGCCAGACAGCACCGGCCCGCTGCCGGCGCAGAGAGTTTGTGTCCAAAGAGATCAACCCGAAAGGGATACACCCGGTCTTGCTCTTTTTTTTGGCGATACTGCTTCGCCGGGCTCGCTTGAACGGATTTCAGACCGTTTTGGGTGGTAAAAAGGAGTGTTTCAAAGGAAGCCTGATGGGTACGGTGCCGCGCTGAGGGCTGACGCTCAGCCGGCCAAGCAGCCAGACCCGGCACCGAGGCGGTTAATGCTCGGTCCGTTTGGTTTATCTCCGTTTAGGAGGGGGACGAACAGTTTTTCGCATTTCCAGAGAGTCTGCAGTCACCGCGATCACCGCGCGTGCCGGCCCTGAGCCGACGTTTACCTCTATGTGCTGAAACATGTAGGGGTGGTTACAGATCTTCCGCAGCTGCATGATCGTGTTCATTAAGGTTTTCGTACCGCCTTTACCCTGCGCAAACGAGACGGGAAATTAGGGATCTGAATTTAAGTTTCCGGGCTACAAGAGCTACCCGAGTGTTCCTGAGGAATGTTCTGGAAGTATTTAGCTGGGGGTTTGCTGCCCCGAGGCTTCGGCGCTGCCCAGATCTAGCTGGGGCTGCGTCGAGAGGCACTGGACGCGGAGTGGGACTGCCTGGGTGGGCGGCCAGGCTCTCCCCAATTAGCGCAGGGTTTTAAGACGGACGTTAAAGTCACCCCGAGGAGCGTAAGGAGCAAAGGCTGCGAAAGAACCGGCTGCTCTGGGGGAGCGGACCCAAAGAACGAGGCATTTTTCACCTCCAGCTTTTAAGTTCAGATCAAAGCGTCCTTTTTTTTTTTTTTTTCCCTTCGAATTAATTGCCATTTGACTTTCTGACCGCTTTGAAAAGCAAGTCAGTGGCCTCTGTGGGTTTCCCGGCAGGCGGAGGATTACACCCACCACAACCC